ACACTGTTCTGGTGAAATATGTTTTCAACCATCAGTCTTACAGCAGGAAGCCATATGCCTTGAATAATTCTTGTTAAATTAGGCCTGGGAAACTTACAGGAAAATTGCATTTTTAAGATTTAAGAAATAGTAGAAAACTAGTAGTGTCTTCCTGCAATAAAGACCAAATCTTAAAATATGCTTTACCTTTTGGAACACCACTACTGTCTAGCCAATATAAAGAGAGCAATTCCTGTATATACCTCTGCACAGAAGTCTTCATCTTAGTTTTATGTACAAGTTATGCAAAGCAGGAAGTTCACTCAAATGTTCCCTTGTCCCTCACGTCTCCTTGGTGAAGCAATCTCCTGCTCCTTTTTGAACTATGTACAAACAAACTTTTGCTATTGTTTCTCTTCACTTTTTGTATGTATACCTTACCCAATTTAGGCAATATAAATTCATCCCAATAACTTGTTTTCAAACAAACAATCAATAGTTTTAGCATGCCAACAGCATTATTATCCAATTGATCTGGAAAAAAAGTAGACTAGCATTTGAATTAGAAACCAGGGGCTTTGTAGGGCATGAAAGGTGACTGTGAGTAAAACTTTACAGACAGGGACACTAAAGAAACAAGTAAGTCCTTTTTACACAGGGATTTAGAAGTCTATACAAACTACAGAGACACACAGAGATCCATATACTCTGTTTAAATAACCTACTCATCAAATAACTGTTTAATTTCTGGTAAGCTCTGGTGGTTACTGAGCATCATCCCATTTCTGTCTTTCATTTTGACCTGTTTAAAGGGATATTAGGTGATACACAAATTTTCCAAGAAAGGGATGGCATCAGTTCCCAAATATGAAATATGATTTTGGGTTCAGGCTTGTGTCACTTCTTTTGGAATCCACAGGCTGCAACCATTAGCTGATATCCACTGAACCAGGTGATTAAAACACTAAGTTTCTCTTTTTTCAGATGGGATCTTTAAAAAATGCAGCATTTCAACTATTGTCACAGCAATAGTTTCTCACCAGAAATAGCCACTGTCATTCTGAAAAAGGATTATACACGAGGACTTAAGAGATACTTATTGCACTGCTTAGTACTTCCTTTGTTCAAATGAACATATATTGTCAAAGCCTCACTTCGTATAGGATGGCATTCCAATAAGGAACAAATGAGCACTGTTTCCACTTGACTGATATCGCTGTGGTCTCTGTTATCGAAGAAAATATTTTCTGTGTTCAGAAACTGCAAACTATCTCTCCTCTTCAAAAGAGGAATTTTAAAACACATTAACCACTCCAGACCTTCTCTGTTTGCTTAGGTTACTTGCAGTACAGAGAAGAAACCGGAAGACAGTGTTTAACTGCAAGGTGTGTTATATGAACAAAGTTGGCGAAACTTATTCACACACCAAAAAAAGAACCTTGCTTTTAATAACTGTTGTAGTGAAGTTTTATAAAACATTGTCACCCATTTTGCCTGGAATAGTTAAGACAACACCTCGGCATTTTTCAGTTGTTACATAAAGTGAAAAAAACCGGAGTTTGTGTTTGTTATGTGCAGTCTTGATATTTCACCAGAACGCACAAAATCACGCACTTCTGAACATCAGAGGAATCAAACGATAGTATATTTACTCACAGTTTCAAGCCTCATTGTGTAGTACTTCATGCTTTCCAGTGCTCCAATTCTGCTTCCACTGAAATGAGACCTCACAACCTTGCGTGTTCCCCATCTGCTTCCTCTACAATTGTACTAATGCTTTTGACTGTCTGTGGGGAAACCCCGTGACTCTGTTAACTTCCTGTACAGCAAATTAGCTTGCTTTCTGTTTCTATCATTTTCTCAGGATAAACAACTTTGACTTGGAGATTTCTCTGATCAGGATTTAAACATTTCCCATTAGATCAACTGTAACCTAACGTGTTTCATCTTAAATAGCCCCTTGTGTTTTTCAGAGGAGCTTTTGGTAAACTTAGTCCTGCCAAAATTATCTCTTTAGCTTTATAATTATAAAATCAACACAAAATTGTGTGCACAGCTATGAGACCAGAAAATAAAACTTCGTATTTGATCACATTAAATTAATCTAGCACAGCAGGTGTTTGAAATAGTAGATGGATATAATTTGAGTCAACACTTGCTTGGCCGGTGGACCTGTATGAATAGCCAACATAAACACTAACTTAAATGAAGGTGCAGACTGGGTGAGCAGACATGCAAAAGAATAGAAATATTTATTTTTTTGGGGGGGAGCAAGCTGGATTTGTCTGCTTTATTAGCTATTTCTCTTATTAGGACTCACAGGGAAGAAACTGGCGGGGAAGAAGACCCAGGACCAGGACCCACTCTCTTGGTACTGTGGCAAGGAGAGCAGGACTGGCCATGGCCAAGGCCACAGCCAACTCCCTTCTCTCCCCCAGAACCCAAGACCACAACAAGTCTGTGGGATGAGAGAGGTCTGAGGCCAAGCCGAGAAGCTGATCCTCAGGGTCCCCAGGGGATAATGCAAAACCACAACTGAGACATCCTGCTGTCAGGGCCTGGACCTCAGGGTCTGTGGGGCCTGAGCCTTAAAGGGCAGAGCTCAGGCACGGGCTGAAGGCCCAGAGCTGAGCTTAAATGGGATCCTGGGCTCATGGAGGGTGTGCCAGATGGGCTGGTCAGGGCCATTATGGCAATTAGTACCCACAGGGCCCTGACAGAATGCTTTAAAAAGGTATTTTATTTTTCAACTGAGGTGCAAAACCTCAACATACATGCTTATAATAAGGGCCAGTTACTTAGAAAAAAGAATATCAGAAAACCACCAAACCACCAATACTATGAAAAACGAAAAAATTATTAGAAAAAGTATTTCGCCATTAAGACTTCACATTTACTTTCATAAACCTGTGCCACAACACCAGAGCTGCATCAATTTGCCCTGGGCACCATTGCATATGGATTTTCCAGAGGGCTTGTGTTCATGCCTGGACTCCTCCTTTTCTAAAGCAACTGTGTCACCTCATAGATGGAGGTTACTCCAAACTTCTGTACTCACCTTTGACTTCCAGTTTCTTTATTGAAATTTCCATTCTAAGAGGGCTCTTCTCCTGGCCCCTATTGTGATATCAGGAGTTTACTAAGCTGAAAGAAGAGCAGAAGTCAGCAAGAGGTGTCTCAGTCTGATTCTTTGTGACTCAGTATAAATAACTGGAGGAAAAAATCAGGTCACTGCCAATTGGACTTCGTACCAATGTCCCTCATTCCTGGCACAGCTTTCCTTGGTGGCTACATTAATCGTTAATTAACTAGAGAGAGGCCACATTAAAAAACATCCCGAAGTACACTGACAAGTTTCCAGTGTTTCTGTGGAAACAGAAAGTTCACTGAGAATTTCTGTTTGTTCTGCCTAGTAAAAGGTGAAAGAGAAACAATGAAGTTCAGACATAGGTAAGAAGGGAGACCAAAGGGTTCACTTAAAAACACAAAGAATTACTTGGGCCATTAATCTTAAAGCATAGGCAAGGAAATTAGCTCATGAGAAAGATTTACAAAATAATAACTGAAAAATAAAAACATCAATGCCCCCTCCCCGCAGCCTTAAGGCCCTTTCTTCTCTTGTTCCCCCTTCTCTCAGTTAAAAAATTCAGCAAATTTAGAAAAGTTTTAAATTCAAACATAATCATCATTTGGTGATCTTGGAGCCCTACACCCCTCATAGTGCATGCCAAAGTCAGCAGTTCAGTGTAAGCCCAAGAGTGAATTGTGTTCAAACATGTCTATGTGTGTCCCACATCACCTCTCTTTTTCCATAAATATATGCAGGGGAAAAAAAAACCCGTAAAAACTCACCTTCAGGATTCGAAAATCAAGTCTCCTCAGCAGTTACGAATGCACCCTCTTGGAGGCTGGTAGGTGAAATAAAAACTATTCCCTCCCCTTCTCCCCGTTGTTGAAAGAATTAAAACAATTGCACTGCTAAACAATGCAGACAGGACTAGTTGGACTTCCAAGTATGCTGTACTTGAAAGCAGCAAAGAACACCTCGTAATCTAAAAGGAAGTGTTGTTTTGTGGGTTTTTTTGAAACCTTCGCCTTTCTGCACCAGCTAGTTGCCCCTTTCCTTGCTTTCCATTTTTTGTCTCTTTGCCCTGCAAGAGAGTATGACATTATGTTCAACAAATATATTCATTGTATTCATGTCAGACAGGCTCAATTTTGTAGTTTTGTATTATTACAAGAAATGGTAACCATTTGTTGCAAATAACTTTCAGTGTTTCCAGGGCTCTAAGGTGTTCCTTTTTGTTCGGAAATTATTTTATTTTATAAGGACAGTGGTGTCAATTAACAAATTATACTTAAAATAACTTATCTAGCTGGTTATTTGCTACTTTTATTCTGTAGAATTTGATGGATTTTTCTCTATATGTATGTGAGAAGAAATCTATTTGTTTTCTGACCTTGCTTGTTTGCTTTATATTCAGTTACAACATGCTTGCAAACCCAAAGCATGGATTGTCTGAAGCAAGTAATCATTGGAACACATCCTAACCCCAACCCAACCCCCACCCCAGCCTATTCTTCCTTGAAGCTGAAAAGCTGATTTCTGGCAGAAAG